TGGGCATGGGGAATATATAAATAATGGGAAGCCATAGGCCCCTGCTCAGTCAGCAGCTGCAATATAACATTGCTCTTGAGAGGCTCCTGACCCCTGCCAGTTGCCTAGCCTTGGCAGATCAGCAGCAGAGTGGCGCTGCCGGATAAAATGTTCCCCACAGGCTGCTCCCAGCCTGGAGAGAGAGAGAGAAGAAAACCCTAGAGTCACTCCAGACTGGGCACTTAAGTTCCCATTCCGGCCCCCATCTCCCCAGTCAGAGGTTTCCCAGCTGTCTCAAGTGGGCAGCCCAACTGGTACAAACATGAGATGGCTCAGGTAAAGCACAATGGATGGTCACATACAACCAGAGAGCAAGAGAAAGCTGCCCCACTCCTCCTCCTGCCTTTGGAGGGACCAGCAGCAAGGGATGCAAAAGCACATCTGCAGCAGCACCACAGGGGAAACAGCTGCTAGAGCTGGAGGCAGGGGAAACCTTGCTGTAGGAAGTCCCACACCTCCACCCCAAGAGATTTCTCCTCCTAAAATAGAGGGCAGCTGAGCAGTCCCTGCCCCACACCAAGCTATACTGCCCCCCCCCAGCTGGATTTTCCATCCCTGCCTCAGAGCAGCAGGAGGAGCAGACATGAGGCCTGGCTCCCAAGCAGTCCATGCCCGCAGCTCCATGCATACACCTAGCACACAGTCTGGTACTTGCCCTTTGGCCAGGAGGGGACACGTAGGCCTGTTCTTTCTCAGAAAGGGGCGAGAGGATCAGAGGGAAGACACTCTGGCGGGCACTTTCCCAGGGCCAGCACTGCTCCAAGGTCTCTGTGCTACTGCAGATGTCACCTTAGATTTGCAGAGAAAACCAGTGACAGCCCCTCACAGGTACTGGGAAGTGCTACAGAGCTGGGATCCCCCCCTCCCAGGGAGGGCATAGGTGCAACCTCTTCACCAGGCAGCTGTGCAAGGTAAACAGCTCTCTCAGTATAAGAAATCCCATCTGCACTCTCCTGCCTCTCTTTCCAAGAGACCAGTACCTTCTCACTGCTCCCTACACTGCAATGGGGCAGTGTCTTCCCACGATTAAAGGGGCTGCCATATTCCAGCCCAAAGATGACTGCATTTTG